TGATACGGGGAAGTAGGCCGACGAAACACGATGCCGAACACCCCAGGTGCTGAAAAACTCCTTGGTTGAGCTTGCCGTGAATTCTGGGCCACCGTCCGTAGAGATCTCTTCCGGTACACCGAACGTCCTGAAGAAGGCTCGGAGGTGGCTGATGAGGCCAGAAGCGCCTGCCATGACAGTTCCCGAGGTCGACCCGAATACTTCTACCCATCCAGAAAGACGGTCGCCCACGACCAAGTAATGACGACCACCATGGTCGAAGAAATCAGCGAAGACAGCCTCGAATGGTGTCGATGGTGGCGGTGATGGGATGGGTGGCGTGTCAGCCTGCGACGGTGAGTTACGGTTGCAGTCGGTGCAGCGATCGCGGGTCTCCCGGATATCTTTGCACATGCCTGGCCAATATACAATGGTGCGCGCGCGCTGCTCCATCATTGATATGCCCTGGTGAGCAGAATGGAGGTTGGCCAATACACGATGGCGCAGAGCTGGGGGGACGACAACTCGGTCCTGGTAGAGGATGACGCCGTCTTCCACGTAGAGGGAGTCGAAGAGATGATGGAGCTGGGCTACTGTGGGATCTTGTACACGGTCGATCCAATGTCCGCTCTCGATCATGTCGAGGAGATGACGCCAGGAAGCGTCCTTGGTCGTCTCTTCTGCGATGAGCGACCAGGGGAGCGCCATGTCGCGAGCTTCGTGACGAATTGCTTCAGTCAATGCGACTTCCACCAGATCCTGTGCGCTGAGTTCTGAGCCACTCGTAGATTGAGACGCAGTTGGGTTCCTGGAGGCAGCGTCGGCAGCATGATTTGATTTTCCTGGCAGGTGCATGATCTTAAATCGCCATGGCAGAGTGCGCTGTTTCAACCGAAACAGTCGGCTGTTCGTGATCTCGTCAAGGGTCCTGTCTCCGAAGATTTTGATCGGGGGCTTATGATCTGTAGCGACGACTAAGTCATCGCAGCCTTGGGTGAAGAACCTGCTTTGTTCCAAACCCCAAGCGACGGCGAGTGCTTCCCCTTCGACGGGTGCGTACCGCTGCTCGGCGGACGTCAGAAATCTGGAGCCAGCCAGGGTGATTCTCCAGCCATTCGGACAGCAGTCGGGCGAGTCTGACCGACAACTGCAGTGCTGCTGGAGGAGAAAGTACCCAATCCCTCGGCAGGACCAATCAGGACGCAGGCACGTCTTCTTTGTCACGTCGAAGATCTTGACGCCGTGTCTGATCGCATCAACTATGACTGTTTTTGATTTTTGGAACGCCTCTTCCAGTTCCGGAGACCACACAAACTTGTGGCGTGGGCTGAGGAATGGCTTGAACAATGCAAGGGCATCGCGCAGCTGCGCATAGTTGGCTACCTGGTTCACGAGACCAAACCAGCTTCTTACGTCAGTGGTTGACGTTGGCGTTGGGAAGTCCCGGATAGCATCGAGGTACTTTGGTAGCGGTTCGATGTCCGTTTCAGAGATGTGGAAGCCTGCAAAGTCAGCTGACCGCTTGGCGAACTGAAACTTCTCTGGGTTGAGGACTATGCCAGCTTTTCCCACACGAGTGAGGAAGTCGATCGTTCTCCACCAGTGCTCCTCCAGGTTGGAATCGTAGTGGATGGTGTCATCGACACATCGTTCCTTCCGTTGGAACGTTGACAACACTGCATCGAAACGGCGGTTGTATCCATCTCCAGACGAGAGGAAACCCTGAGGTGCACGGGTGTAGCGCCACCTGCCGAACGGCGTTATGAACGTGGTGAGGTGGCGATCGGTCTCTCGAAGTGGGACGCTATGATAGCCATTCCATGCGTCTGTCACTGTCTTCCACGTGTTACCGGGGACACGCCTGGCTAGGTGGAACGGAGACTCTGCAGAGAACGTTTCTCGACGACAGAACTTGTTCAGAGGTGACAAGTCCACCGTTCGTCGCGGAGATCCGTCATGCTTCCGAGTAATGACCATCCGATGACACCATGACACTGGTTCGCCGTAGGGGACACGTTCGATGACACCCAGTGCTTCATCCCTGAGTAGATCTTCATGGACCTGTTTCTGCCAGTGCAGAGGTATGTTAGCCGCGGTATGACACGTCCGTGGAGTGGCGTTTGGGTCCATGTGGATTTCTAGCGGTGGGCCCTCCATGCATGGCATGGGCTGATGGGGACAGGTGTTGAAAGTGGACGCGCTATACCGATCCAGTAACCAGGCCGCCATCCGCTCGTTGTTGTCTGGTGTGCAATCGAACGGTAGGGAGGTTGGTCGGGGCGGTACTGACGTACGTAGTGGGCACGAGCAGGGCGCTTCTCCGACCGTCTCTGTCACGTTGCATCCACCATTGACCGAGCGTAATGTGCTGGGGGATGGAGTTGAGATGCCGTCCTCTCTGTCCGGCGCGGCTAGGCCCTGCTTTTCAGTGCCCAGTGTCCCTCTTTCTGCACTGGCTTTTGACTTAGCACCCCCGGCAGGAAAGTCCGCCGACAGCATGCCAAGCTCTAGCATGGTCTCATATGAGAGATACATTGAATGTACAGCGTTGCTGACGTAAATCATCGAGCGGCAGGTGGTGACTTCTCCCCCAGAGGTGTGGCTAGTTATCCTTGCGAAGAACGCACCCTCTATCGGGATAGGCGATCTGTTGGCCGCGGACATGCCGAGCTTGACACGGAACAGACTGTCCCGAGAGAACCCGTGGGCCAAGTACTCTTTAAGAGACCACAAGTCAGACTGCGCACCTGTGTCTGCTACTGCAGATACCTGAGCCCGGACCGATGGATCCGGGGGAGCCCGAGGTCGGTGCTTGGCGGACATGTCAGCAGAGATCGTTATGTTGACCCGGGGGTGGTCACGGAAACGTGCTTTCTTCCATTCTCCTTTGTTAAAGATATGGTGGTCCAGGACGACGCTATTGACAGTGTTCTTCCGGTGTGAAGGTTTCTTCCGTCCTGTTTTTTGTGCTTCCCGGCCCACTGAGCAGGCTTCTTCAGTGGTCATCTGAGAGACCGTGTCGGTCTCTACCGTCTGTGCGGCAAGCTCAGTCTGAGGCTGGGCCGTCGGTGAGCGTTTATCTCGACGTTTTGCACGGAAACAATCCAGACAACGAGGGTGAGGTTTTGCGTTCCACCCACGAGGGCCTTCAGTGAACACGCAATAGCGTTTGTTGCAGTCTGGACAGTTGACCTGTCTCGTCCGATCTGCAGCAGATGGGACAGGTGTCGACACCTGAGGCTCTGGGGCACTGCGCTGCCGTCGGAGGGTCGATACCGCTGACATCGACGGGGGAAGAGCGTTGCGGGCCATTTCTTTGGTTTCCACCAGCGCGATGACGTCATTTACGGCCATTGAGTGAATTGTGCGATCGCCTATCACCTCGCGCCGAATGTCGCAGTCCGATATTCCGTTCAGAAGGACGTCCCGGATCACGTGATCGGTATAGTCCACCTGACGCTCGCATTTGCAGTCAGCCTTGAAGTTACACGTTTCAGCCTTACCGCGTACCTTCGCAGCGAACGATCTGAAAGGTTCGTCGCGCTCCTGTCGCAGTTGCAGCAGTTCTGAGCGCAAGACTCCAAGAGCGACAGGGATCACTGCTAGACACCGCATGCACTCGAGCACATCGGACAGCGACCCATTCACGACTGAAGCATTTGCTTTCAGCATGCTGTCGCCAAGCTCGGTACTGGCACATTGGAAGAGTTGCGATGGCGCTGATGCGTCATCTATCCCAGACCCTGTCCGGAAGACATCCCACCGCCGAACAAACACGTTCCATTCTTCGGTGGTGACGCCAACATCCACTCTCGGGCGCTCGAGCTTTGGTCCTTGTCTGACGGGCGCGCGAGCAGTCTCCGATCTGGATTGGTGAGCTAGGCCATGATTGGTGAGGATGGCGATGGCTAGGGCTTCCGATACATCGTCACTACGAAATTCGCATGACGGCACTGAGCAGGTCACGATCACCATTTTGTCTCATAAGAATCAATAGCCGGCTTTTACTAAAAGTTTACATTTTAAGATGATTTGGTCATGAAGAAACTCCTCGTTCGTGAAACATGTATTAGAACGATGACCAAATCATCTTAAATGCCCGTTAGTAACAATAGGATGGCACCTAAACTAATTAGCACTGTTCAGTAATTAGCACGTGCCCCATTTACCTAAGTACCGCTCAGGTAGCATCTCTGCAGTAATGTGAAGTCACCCTTAAAATAGAGCTTTGTTGAGCGTCTCAAAAGCTTCATGAACGCCGCATGATATGGCACTTATTACACATCACACGATGAAGTTTTACCTTCGTTTTGGTTTTACAATTAATTATCGATAACCACTCGATAGCTGAGTTTTAGGCCTACTGAGTTGTGAAACATCTTGAAAGTCTGAAAAAATATTTTCTGTCATACTTATATTCGCTGATAATGCTTTCATTTTTTTTGCGATGAGGCACGGTTTTATGGTAAAAGGCAACGGAAATGGCATTACCTTCATGGGAAGGTTATTTGCTTCCATTTATGAGAGCCAACATTCGTTTGTAAACAAGCATAATACTCGTATGCAAATATTTGATCCATTTTCATAGGGCGTAAATAAATGGTAGAGTCACTTTTATCGGTCTTACATGTGGAACCTCACGTTTCAGCTGCTAGGAAACGTACTGTAATTTGTAAGGGAAAGAAAGAATCCAAGACAAAGTGAATGTTGCCGGACTGAGAACGTTTTCGGTCACAACTCACGGTCCTTGGAAGTTACGTGTGGTCCTTATAGCGTAGAGTCAGGTACCAACACATTACCTATCTGATCAGGATCTGACCTGTCCTGTTATAGTTCAAGGAATGGATTGGATACACTGTAATGGCTGTTACGTCCAGCCCGGGCAGCGTGGTCAAGAAAAGCGCCGGTTTTTGCTTACCAGCTGCGGTCATGTGTTCTGTGCCCAATGTTGCATGGCTTGCGCCAACGAAAAATGTAAAGTTTGTCAGTCCAATTGCAAAATGATACCGCTGTCATCGAAAATGAAGCCAGATGTAGAGGTGTTCTTCACCAACCCGATGGAGCTGGCGCGCCGCTGTTTAGCATCGTTCACACAAGCCGCGCAGAAAATGCAGACCGTCAGTGATTTCCAGAACGGCCACAGACAGCGACTCATGGAGCATTTACGGAACGAAGTTCGTGCTCACCAGCTGAACGCTCGCGCAAACAGTCAGCTTGAAGCGCGGTGCCAGCAGCTGGAGAAGCGCTGTCAGCAGCTGGAGCAGCAGCTGATTGGGATGCAGGCTCGCAAGAGCCCCCGCAACTCGCCGGGCTTCCTGAGCGGCATGGTGAGCTCGCGGCCCATGTGTCGGGACTCGCCTCAGGCGGCGGCCGCGCCCTCCTGCAGCCCTTACATGGACGTGGTGCGCCGGTCGCGGCCGTTCGAGCTGGCGGCGTCGGCCGGCGGCGGCGACAGTCTGCCGATGGCCACCAGCCCCCAGCAGACCGGCCAGCGCCAGACCTCGCTGCTCGCCAAGCTGTTCGCGTCGCCCGGCGTTCCACAGTCGCCCAACAACATCTGATGGCCGCGTGAAGTTCTGCGACATCGCCGCCCCATCGAGGTTGGCTTCCTGATCTCGATATGAACAAGACACACGAGCCCGTATGCGTCACGGCTCCAGTGCGAACATTACCTACATTTGTGTTTGAAGTTGGGCTGTGCGAAGCTATGTCACGCAATTCTAGTTGTTTTCTGCGTGTGATCGTTCCTTTGTGGTATCCTGTTGTTGCCATTTTCTTGCTGAGCGATGGTGTAAGTCGTACTACATTGAAATGCCATCAGTTCACTCGGTTCACTGGTGTACCTACTGCATTTAGGACACCCAATCCAGCGATTAACCAGCTAGGCCAACGACGTCTCGACACATTCCAGCACAAACGTTGAAAACGAAGGTACCGAGCTTCCCGAGAGCAGGGGTAACAACATGGAGTAACCAGACGACATTGAACGCTAGAAGCACGATCCTGAACTACCGTGACATACGTTTCCTACACGACATACCAACAGCATTTCATCCAACCAACCATTGTCAGTCACCGCACACGGCACGATAGTACACAAATTCAATTTTGCACATTTTATTTGATACAAATAAATCCATAAATACCATTCCACTCGGACAAGCACCTAGGTCCTAAACTTTCATTTCGCAAACAAAATATGAGGCTGCATCGGCGACTACGTGTCATCGGAGTCCTCTGTAAAATGGGGCTTCTGCCCGGGAGTCCGCGCATCCAAACAAGGCCCACGTCAGCTATACCACCCGGCAAAGTATGTGTAAAAAGTAAAAACATCAAGTCACATCGCCCGACGGCGGCGCATCGTACAAGGAAAGCGGCCGGCGGGCGGCGCGAGCGCGCGCTCTCGACACGGGCGGCCGGCCGGCCCGGTGGCCGGTCGCCACCGCCGCGGAGAGAAGCCAAGCGAGAGGAGGAGCCACTACATAAGGTGCTCGCCGCTGATGCCCGGGGCGCCGGACTGGGTGCGCCCCGCGGGCGCCCGGGGCGCCGCATTGGGTGCTCGCCGCTGGTGCCCGCGGGCGCCGGACTGGGTGCGCCCACGGACGCCCGGGGCGCCGCATTGGGTGCTCGCCGCTGGTGCCCGCGGGGGCGCCGGACTGGGTGCGCCCCGCGGGCGCCGGACTGGGTGCGCCCAACGGACGCCCGGGGCGCCGGCGCTGAACGCGGCCGTCTACACCGGCAGCTGGCGCCGGACGAAGCCGGCAGTGGAGTTGCGACAGGCCCTGCCGATGCGCCTCAGTCGCACTGTGGACAGGGGTACCGGAGGTCAGGTCAGGTCGGCAGCCACGATAAGGTGACCCCGCGCGGAGGTCATGTGACTTCGCCTGCTTACGGGCGGTGGAAACTAACCTTAAAGCACCCAGTAGGATCGACTACGACCTTTCAAATGCGATACAACTAAGTTACGATACTACCAGATACTACCTACATAAGCCTCATTGCCTACGTTCGCTTCCTACCATTACAATATTCCCAGTAGGTCTGGTGCTGTTGTACAAAGACACACCAGTCGTGTTCAGTCATAGAGCTGTTTCAATGATTTAGACCAGAAAATTTTTAATGAAGACCACTGTATAATTCATATCAGTGGGAAGGCCGAACACTAAATGGCACGAATATCGACATGGTAAAATAACGTTCATCAAAATGATCGCCACATAATGAAATTTAAAAGTGTTTTTTTTTTCGCGTCATTGTGCCTGAAATTACGGCCACAGCCCTCTGCCGTTTTATAATTCATTGGCGAATAAAAAATATGGCCGAATTAATTGGAGCTCCGTCGAGCTGCGGAAGGAATTTGGCAGCGTGTGCAGACATAGTTGGCTGAGAGCTGGCACTGGCCCGGGACCAGAGATGCTGGCGTCATCGCGGACCTCGCGCGTGATCCAGGAGAGTATCTCCTAGGAGCCAAGGTCACCGGCGAACGGATAGAGTAATTTGCTTAAAACCCTGACCGGGGCGGGGCCTTGTCGCGGTTTGGGAATTTATGAGACCAAATCGAACAAATGGCCAGGTTGTATGCTTATAGCTGTCATATGGAAAATGTTCAAGTCAAAGCTAAAATGTTGTTATTTGTCTCCGCTTCCTGGAAGATGTTCGGGCGTGGTGAGCGTGTTTAGTGGACCATCACCTGTGAAAGGAGTCACCAAAGGGGTGGTGCAAAGCTGGCGAACCGACCGAACCTTTGCAGCCGCCAGCATCCCGACACCCACTACTGTCTTTCGGCGGAAACATGTCATCAGACAGAATGGGCCAGCAAAGATACGCTTCAGAAATCAGAATATCAAAATTAAGTGTGAGAGCTTCTGGATATTTATGACCAGTGACTCGATTTGGTACCGTTCAGGCTAGCTATCTGCGTTGGCACTGAGCGATCTCTGACTGTGTATCCATCTGATGAGACTGTTTCCGCCCTACCCATGCTCGGAGCCGATTGGCAGTACCCTAAGCCATCGGGTCGCGGGGCGCCTCCACCGGTTCGGGACGCCGCCGTCACAAGACAACAGACAGCGGCAGCGGCAGCGGCAAAAGGCAGCAGAAGCAAAACCAGCCAGACAAGGCAAACTAAACGATAACAAGCCAGCGCGTAGCAGACACTGAACAAAACCTCCAACCGACCGCCACCAGCTGAAAATGGACCAGACCCCGTGAGAGGGGACCGCTTAGCCACCTGAAAACGGGACCAGCCAGGGGGAGAGGGGCCGGACAGGACGGGCACGAGTTAGTGTAGTCACCATTTAGAGTCGGGGAAGAGAGAGGGAGATGAAGGCAGAGACAGAGAGACAGAGCAGCGGCTTCTGCCATGCCAGCGACAGGTAGATGGAAAGAAACATGCAGAGGGGGTTGGTGTCAGCCGTTATGTTCTGACGTCAGTGTTCCTGTTTGGTCTGACCTGTAAGGTGCTGGGTGGCATGCAGATCTATACAACTTGCACCATATCTAGCGGGTCGCTCCAGGATCCTAGCAATCACCAGGTGCAACGATCACCAAACTTTGGGTTCTGCTTATCAAGGGCTCATGCCAACTGTCCAGTAGGGGCGCGTCCGTGCAGCGAACAAGACGAAATTTTGCTTACCAGTTACCAGCCATAGCATCGAATGTGTTGTTCACGGCAATTTCGGACCAGTTGAATACAACTCGTAATCCAAGTTTGGACCGACATAACCTCTCATATACCGGGGTTACATGAGCAAGTAAATGCGTATCAGGAACGGATTTTCCTATTCGCTCACCATTGTAGTCCGTTTGTAATGCGTATTAACTCTGCTCATGTAACCCCGAGCATAGTGTCAGACCATTTTGTCAATACTTTCAAGATTTCATCTAAAAATAAAAAACCGTAGCTGCACCGCCCATAATCCTTTGATGAGGCTAGTTCATGGCTGTTCTAAAAAAAGGTATCCTATTTTTGTTACTCGTAATAATGTTCAGTGCGGTCTTATACAATACTAAATACATGGTCCAGAATCTCATAACGAGACGGAAATTTTAGACGAAGTACAAACAGGCGACTTAAAATAAATTATACCTATGCCTTTAAAATACATTGTTTTTTTTAATAATATTCTGAATCATTAGAAAAAAAACTTGGGCACTGATTTCTTAGTTCCAAAATTTCGGACACCATGACAAATTTAACACTATCAAAGCTACTTAAATTCTACAATCATAGCCATTTGGAGCAGGCAGCTGTGTGGATTGATTCGCCAAACATTACGTTCGCAGTGAAAAATGATTGCCAGAGCAGAAGGGCAGCGAGCGCAGCCAGGCGGTCCGTCAATCCACACAGCTGACCGGTCCAGCGGCGGCACGCCGTAAGAAGGAAACGCTTTGTTAGGGTGAGTCGTCATTCAAAACATACTTTGCAATGGGATAAACCAGTATAGCGCCTTTTGGGGCGACTAACGGAGCGAGCGAGGAGGTGAGTCTTGCACGTGCGAAATTTCGAGGGGGTACCTCTAACTGACTTGTGCACGGCACCCTACTGACCGGTTTCTAGCGATGTGCCAAATTTGAGCACAATCGGCCCAGCCGTTCTCGAGATCTGGGAGCGGCACCCTGCACGTGCGCACGTGCAAAATGGGTCCCAACTGACTTGTGCACGGCACCCTACTAACTGGTCCCTAACCGTGTACCAAATTTGAGCGCCATCGGTCCAGCCGTTCTCGAGATCTGGAAACGACCCCTGCACGTGCGCACGTGCAGCAGCACCCCAACTCTGGCACATGGATATGCAGTGCCTAGTGGGTGCCTACCTACATGCCAAGTTTCAGCGCAATCGGCCAAGTAGTTACCGAGATATTGCAACAATTACAAAACTGACACCTCTAGGTTTTGCACGTGGCACGTGCATAAGGGGTCACCCACATGCATCGGGAATAGTCCAATACTTGGTAGAAGGAATCAGAAGCTACCCTACAAAAATTACCGCGTGTAAATCGGTCAAGTGGTTGCTGAGATATAAGCCTCGCAAAAGCGTCCGCACGGCCGGCCGGCCGGCCGGCCGGCCGGCCGCTCATACTCAGAAATTTCCGTTAATCTAAGGAAAGACTCCGCTCGCTTCGCTCGCTCCGTAATGATACCTGTGCCATATACAGATTGGAATGCAACCAACGCAACAAATGGCAACCAGTGTGGACTGGCAGTGAACATGAAAACGCCTCACCACAAAACAAAACAATTCCTTCCTACAAACGTAACAATGGCAACTAAACATGCAACAAGCGAGATGCGCAACATATGCTACTAATGACAGCTATCGAAACTAAACGGGCAAAACATTGATTAGATGGAAGAAAAAGGCGGATTAGTATACCTAGCGCAGAGCACACACACGCTTATTTCGACTTGGAAGCAGCCTCTCGACGTGCCTTCCGAACTGGAACGAGACAGAAAATAGGGGTGTGGGTTAGTCGAGACAAAACCGGGCAGCACACACGCTACACGGGCCTGGGCAGCGCGGAGCTAGCTCAGTCGGCCGCATTCCCGCATAGAAACGGAGCCGGAGGTGACAGAGAGGTCAGAGCTGCTGGGGGGAGCAAACAGGGGAGCAAGGCCAACTAGGCAAACCAGTCAGACGGACGGACGGACGGAGGGCGGCGGCGGGAGACCTACGCGGGGCGGCGGCGGCGGAGTCCGGCGGGCGGCCGGGGCGGCCCAACACCGCCCCGGGCCAGGTCACGAGCGGCGGCGGCCCATCGTCCGCACTGCAACCACCAGAGCAGCATGACTGACGCCTCACGATCGCTCCGGCGCCGCCGCGACAAACACACTCGCGCTACACTACCGTCGGCGACCGCTCCCTCCTCACACCCTCATGCGGCGAGCACGGTACCGGACCAGTCAGGAACACACGCGAGCACACCACCGGGGGGCGGACACACCGGCACCGCGACTACTGACGGGGGAGCGCGCCAGGCGGGACGTTAGCCGGTGCACGGAGGACGGCGGGGACAGCCAAATAGCGGGCGGCGCCGGCCGGCAGTCGGACCAGCGAGCGCCACCAACCGTCAGTGGTCGCCCGCCGGCCCCGGCACCGGCTCGGGTTCGGGCTCCTCCATTTCGGGAAGCTCGGGCAGCGCGGCCACATCGTCGTCGGAGGATTCGCCGGCGCCGGCGGCCGCCGCGCCGCCGCCCGGCAGCGCCATCGACGCCGGCAGCTTGATGGAAAAGCTACAGGACATGCCGTCGGCCTGCCGCTGGACGCGCACTGCGGAGAGACGGCGCCTGCTCACGGGCCGGCCGCTGCGGGGCCGAGGACGGGGCGCCGGCCGAGGCCCGGAGAGGACTACGGACCACTTCTCTCACACCCACCCCCTCACACAGCTTCCCTCAGTTACAGAACACCTGGACAGCACACAGGTTGGACCGGACGACTGCTGATACAGGTCAACTCAGCTACAAGACTAAAATGAACCCACGATAACTAAATACTAGCAATGTTCGGTCTAGACACCACCGATGACTATCTCGACAGCTCATATACAATATCAACTCATCAAAAACAGCAGGGCTTATAACTTCTGTGCTTCAACCCATGAAACACAACAGGGTATATACATTGCACACCAGCTTGGACATTCAGCAATATGCCAGATGGTAACTACACATCCCTAAATCATTACGTCATCCCACACCACACACTGCTCCGAGAAACACCACTGGACTTCAGCCGACACCCATTTCACAACACCAAAAACAGCGCAGCCTCCAGCCGACGGCAGCCCCAGACCTGGAAACGGGTCATCGTGCAGCTATATACACTACCCCGCCCTGCGCGGGTTTCTGCGGTCTTCTGGTCACGGCACACGGCACACAGCGCACACCAGGGTTCAACGGGCTACAGGTGACGGCGGTGCGCGCGCAGCAGCAACTAAACCACGGGCTGGGTCGGGGCACGGAGCGAGGCTGGAACGCACCTTACCTGAACAATGAGTCTGTGGGGCAGTAGCTATATTGAAAGCTTACAAATTATTTTACAATAATTTTAGAGCATTAATTTGTACAGTGAGTGAAAGACTAGTTACGTCCGTACGCAACATTTTATTGATGTTAAAATACTCACGTAAATCAAAAGGCAAATCACAAAAAGTTGCTTTATGGAATGCACCGGTGTTGAGGCACTGTTAGGTCACTTCGAGCCGATTCGGCCTATTTGTCAGCCTGTCCAATGTCCACCGTCGGCGGGACGGGGCGGTAACTTACACCTGTCGCGGTTCTTCTGTAGCTGCGCCGAGACGCGCGCCCGGGCGTCGTTGAACTCAAAGTGCAGACCCATCTGCAGGATGGTGGGGTTGTCCTCCACGTACTTGGTGATCTCCATCTCGATCTTATTACCCAGCACCTGAGATCGCTGCAAACCAAGTGGGAAGGATGTCACTCTCCATGCCGCCTGATTTACAGTTGTGCTGTTACAAAAATACAATGTACACACCCGACAATATGCAAAAGCCCGCTATCACCATTTGTTCGCAATGGTGTTATTTTGATATTCCAAAAATAATGTGCGTCAAGGTAGTATAAAACTCACACTTCACAGTTTGAAAATGTTTCAGCTTTAGACGCTATGCAAAGGCCCTTGAACTGGCAGTAAAACTCTGTCTCGAACCCTTTTAAACAAACACACCGGTGGCATGGTTTCGCTCGGCAACTGAGCTCGACTGTAAAATGACTGACCTGGTTGGCAGCTCGGAAGGCCTCAACAGTTTTATTCTTGAGCAACGCCTTTACTAGCCGCGCAATCATAGCAGGACTGATGAAGTTGGACTCGATACTGAGAACGCAGGGCACATCATGTCAGTAATATACTGCAATCAGCGACAAAATCCTATCTCCACATCTGTCAACAAATCCAAAATCATCCAGCTACCGCTGGATTACAGATTAATAAAGATAACACAGCGCACGCTCGACAAGCTATGAAATATTCCCACCGAAAACATACGAACACCTAAGGCGCTCAGATGGTTCTAAGCACAGAAACGGCGGAACCCCTTCAATTAAGGGGGGGGGCGCACTGCCGACTTTTGGTCCCATTCTTTCCATGCAACGCCTATAGGGCTAATGTTAAAATGCCAAAATCAAAGGGGGGCACGGTGCCCCGGTGCCCTCCCCGTTCCGCCGCCTATGTCTAAGCACCATGATGTATCCCGTGCCCCATGCCGGCCTCTCGCGCGCACCTGATCTCCTTGATGGTATTGTTTTTCTCGATGAGCGCCACCAGGTGCTCCCCGTGCCGGTCACTCAGGCCCGTGTTGGACATGTAGAGGTTCTCCAGACGGGTGTTGGACGCAGCCGCGTCGCACAGCCGCTCAATCTGCTCATCAGACATGTTCTGTGGATACAGAGAGGGGGAGACGGTGGGTCAGACCACGGAGAGAGGGAGAGAGAAAGAGAAAGAGAGAGGGAGAGAGAGAAAGAGAGGGGGGAGTGGGAGATTTCGACAGGTTGGGATAATGTTCATCGATCAATGAAACTGATCAGTCTCAGTACCTACTGGTGGTCAATGGTCATAATGATAGATCTACCCTTCCACAATGCGTAAGACGCGCCAGAAAACTCTACCCAGACCATATCCAGTCAACATCCGTTAATATCCAGTCTCTCTGTACCAGCAGGCGCTCCGTTCACCCACTGCCAGCCAGCGGGCGCGGCGCGCCGGTAAACTTGGCCACCCCACGGCGGCCGCTGCAGGGAGAGGGGGCGGGGGAGGGGAGAGCCGGGAGGGGCGCCTGGCCCGCGGCCAGTCCTGCCGGTCGGCCCCCGGGCAGCCTTATTTGGCCGAGAGGGAGCGGCCCCGCCGAACGGCAGCATAGTGCCCCGGCATATATTGAGCTACCGTCCGGAATACAGGTGACTACGGCAGCTCGCGCGACTCACAGGTGTACCGATCGGTCAGAACGAGTGGTACGGGGCACAGCTGAAACGTCACGGCTGTGTATGACAGGTAGTGATCGATAACTCCCGGCTTTTAATCATCCCGCTAGGAACGATTCGCGGCCATCGTTTCGAAACATATGTATTATGTATTGCAGATGAGCATAGCCTGAATGACTCCGTTTATCGCCGGAGAGCTAAGCAAGTTCAAGTGTGGCAGGGTCAGGGGCTGGGGACAATGAAAGAAGGGGTAAAAGTCAACAATTAGACACCACCAGCTGGTGGAAGTAATTGTCTTAGATATGCATAAAGATTAAAGGTCGATCGCAGATTTAGATGGGCTAAAATAAACCGTCTTCGAGATCGTTCCCCACCGAGAGTCCGACATAAGTCCGTATATTATGTTCCATCATACTGCCCGAAATGTTGTCAGCGCGGTGGCCCAGCCATGTTGTGATCTGCGCTGGTTCTGTTCTCACCAGGCATGTACCAGTCATGTCTCTGTCGGGGCTGCATCAAAGACTACAAAGACCTCACTACCGGCTGCCATCCCTCTGCCCCTAACCCTCCCCCTCATCACAGTTCCAGGACCCACCCTGTCCACTGTCCGCTGCTGGTCCGACCATCACTGAACCATTAGTCGGCGGGTCCACGGGCCGGGCGGCGGCGGAGCGCTATATTTGCCGACCGACCCGACCCGGACGCTGCCAGCCGACCGGCCGGGTCGGACCACCTGAGGCCATAAGTCAAGGCTGCCAGCGCTGAATCCGCCCCAGGCCGTACTGCGACCTCAGGGACACCTTCTGACCGTCCTGCGCCGCACGCAGTGTCACGCACCTTGGCAGGGCTGACTGCTGGTGAGGTCGGCTGGGTCAGAGCTCGCGGCCAATCCAGCGCGGACGGCGCAGTTCATCTCGTCTGGTCCAGGGTCAACACAATCACTCAGCGGGACGACTTCACGGCTGAGACAGCGGGGTCGTTCCCGGCACCTCGCCAGACGTCGCCGCCAACACCGAGAGGTGCTGGAGTCGCGCGGCGTCACCCGGCGTCATCTGACTTCACCCGGAGTCACCTGACATGACTTGGATTCACCTGACGGCGCCTGACTTCCCCTGGTTCAACATGGCTTCACCTGGCGCCATCTCACGTCGTCTGGCTCAATGGGCGACACCTAGCGTCACCGGACTTCACTTAGCGTTAGGTGACACCTCGCATTGCTTGGTTTCACCCGGCGTCCCCAGGAGTCAGCTGAGCTCATCTAGCTTCACCTGAGGTCACCTGAGGTCACGTCCTGAGGTCACGTCCTGAGGTCACCTGGCGTCACCTTCTGACGTTGTGTCGCCGGCGCTGCTTGTGTTGGCAGCTCGGTCTGCCCTCTCACAGCGGGGTGATTTAGTCGTTCGTCGCCCGCTCCATCTTATGACAGCGCCTCTCCGAGAGCCTCTACGCGGCACCAAGGTCGCGGCGCACGAATGACGACCGGCGACTGCCAGGGTCACTGGGCGACCTTGTGACCTCGGTCAGGGTCACTCGCTGAACCTGTGACCTCGGGCAGGGTCACTCGGTGACCCCATGACCCTGGACGGGGTCAGTTGAGGCGCACCTCAGGCCCACTACCATCTTTGGTCGCGTGCAGGAGCCGGGGTGACGCTGAGCCCAGGGCTGAGCCAACCGGGGGTTAATAACCTCTGTTCTGAACATGCCGGTATCATCTCTCAGCATACGACGCACACGCGTCAGACAGTGCCAAAAGAAACAGATGACTATACTGTGGGAACTTATGTAAAACAACTGACTTCAAATGAATCCAGTGCAGTCTAACCAAAACCAACATCAAACCGTTGATAGAAAGAACTGTACCTTACATAACGTCTCCGCCATCAGCAGGCAGCAGAAGAATACTGAGCTCTACATATTACAATATTTATAATGGCACAGCCATTATGAGTGGGCAGCACGCGTTTTTCAGCAGAGCTTCACAGGGTCGCTGCGCCTTGACCCGTGACCGCCAGAGGGTCGCAGAGCACCCGTCAGAGACTGTCCAGTGTCTGTGGGCTGGGCCACACTGGGCCGGGGCCTGGGCCAGGGCCACGGATGCAGCGCTGACTACGCACTGGAGGTGCACCGCCGCCAAAATAGCGCCCACCGCGTGTGTGGGCGGCCGTTTCATGGAAACTACCGCGGTAAAAATAGCGTCCGGCGGCCTCCACATGCAGGGTAAACACCACCAGCTCCGTGGCGGAAGGCCGGACAGGCCTGAGGTAACTCTGAAGGGAGTGCCAGACTTGCTCCACGGTCCGGAAGAGTTGTGAGGGGAGTACCAAAGCCGCTCCGGCGTTAGAGATAACTCACAGGGGGGGGGGGGGGGGTGCCAGGCCGGCCTAGGGTTAGTGCGAGCTCAGAGTTAGTTGCTAACTCTGCAGCCCGAGGGTCCGAAAGCGGTAGAGTTTATCGCCAGACCACTACCAGGGTCTGTAGAACAGCTAGCCGACGTGGGTGGGGTGCCAGGTCGGGTCGCTGGAGCCAACTGAGGCCACTGCCAGGGTGTAGGAGGAAGATACTGCGCAAGACGGTGCCAAGATGGAAGTTTGTGTGAGCTATGAAGGCGTTAATACTTTAGTACCGCCCGATAATACACATGACCTCATTGATGAGTGTTTGGACAAACATTTTACACGTCGTCGGTTTTCCCAGTCGACGACGGATTCGATCACCACCCAAAGCACATAAATTCCACCATCCGACTCTGAAGCACGTGCTGACTAAGCCCACTTTCTTTGTTTCACCTTTTTGCGTCAGTGTTTGAAAGACTCCAATGCGTTCACAGAAAGAGGCCATTCGGAAAGTCAATACGGTCGGGGCAGGAAGCCAACTAACAGATCCGAGCTCGGCTCACACGCGCCAAACACGTGCTCAATGTTACCTCGATCGTTAGCTCGGGAACAGCTGCAAACAAAAGGCTTTAGCAGCAGTCGACACTGACTGTTTCCATCCGACTCAGCGATCCAAGTGCGGCCACTAAGGGCAGGACAGGGGCCATAAAATACTGAAACCACAAACGTGAGACTCATACATAAACATAGGACTCCCACACACAACCATGAAACTTAAACCTCCCAAAATCCTTATATAGTACCGAATCTCTCAAATTGTAGACAACACTCAGCTCTCCGACCCCGGCCCGACCCAAACCGCGTCGTACCTTGATATTGTTGAGGTTGAGCATCTGCAGGTCAGGGTCGTCCTGGCGCAGCCGCTCGATGGACTGCTCCGGGTCGGTCATGTTGGGCGGCTCGGGCGCCATCGGCTTGGGCCGGGTGGCGCGCGTGATGCCCGCCCAGCCGACGTCCGATTCGATCCGCTTTCCGAGCAGCGAGGCGTGGTACTGGTCCTGGTTCATCATCGAGTGGAAGCCCAGGATCGCTGTCGAAAGGGGGAGGGGGGAAACGTCAGACAGCTGGGGGAGATAAGATCGAGGGAGAGAAGAGAAGAGAGAGAGAGAGAGAGAGAGAGAGAGAGAGAGAGAGAGAGAGAGAGAGAGAGAGAGAGAGAGAGAGAGAGAGAGAGAGAGAGAGAGAGAGAGAGAGAGAGAGAGAGAGAGACGAGCGCATATCAGATAGAGAAAGATGGGATTCTTCACGCATAATATCGCGATTGAATACACCTGATTTAATAGAAAAAGCACGGCAAATAGTCTGTTGAATAGACAGCCTGTTGTCCTACAAATTGGAACAGCTTTGCATCATTGTGCGCAGAGCTCTGACAAAATGAAGTGGACATTGAATCACGACGAGCTGAGCCAATCATCCGGTGCCCTGTCACCGGACGCTACTCTCGGAATTCCCGGAGCCAATCGATGGACATTGGACATGACCTTCACGCAGTGCATACAAATGTTCTCGGTGCCACGATCAGGGCCTGCGGGTAGTGACATCTGCACTGTCACTGAAATATGACCAGCTGCAAGCTAAGATTCACTTTGGCAAGTGAGCAAGCGAAGCCAAGGCTAACAACCCATTTCGCTGAAGTCTACCTTGAAGCAAATTGGACGAAACTGAGCTCGTTTTCACTTTTCGTAGCATCTGGAACCCGTGAAATGGAACTGCTATTTGGCTCCAGGGAATACCTCAAAACTACAAATCGGCCTCTTGTTCTCTCGGTACAGGCTGTGCGAATCCTTTCCATCCCTAGCCAAACCGACATTCAACCCTGTCTCTGGCTCTCGACTGTCAGCACCCTTACAGTTGCTCGGGCCATCGTCCCAGTTCCCGCCGCGCCGGACACCCGTGGACCGACCACGATCAACCCTATCAGTCCGCGGAGGATCCTATGTCTGTCACGTCCCCGATAACGTGTGCCGGTCTTGTCGGACAAGGTAGAATTTCCACCAACCATGCTTATACGGTGGCAGCCGGCCAGCAGATGGCGGAAACGGCAACACGGACCAGAGCTTGGAATGTTATGTAATACCGCATCGCCCTCTGAATTTTCCGCGGGATTAAAAATACCGGCTAGCTCGAGGTCGTAAACCTAAAAAGGGAATGCCATCAAAGAAGCAGTAAAATGGAATAGACTTTGAATACTTCTGCATATATCGCAGAAGTCAGATTTCATTCAATAATGCTGAGAGGATCAGCAATATAGATACTTGCCCTTACCAATGAACGTCCACAAAACGAACGGGAACAATAAAACTCAGCCAGAAAAAGCAGCAATCCATACGGTACAACCCTCTGACAGCAAAACCTTCAGTCACCCTCCACTGCCATCCCCACACCTTCCAGTCACGTGAACCTCCCCCTCCCCATCCCTGAACCCCAGCAACAACGCACACGCGTCCAGCGACTAAAACAGCCGACAGCCAACGCACGCCGCACTGTCTGGATAGCCGCCAAGCACGCACCAGTGTGTGTAGTCGACACGTGACGTGCGTTAGGGGTCCGGCTCTCAGGGCTCCGGCCACACAGCAAAACCAGAAAACAAAGTCGTTCGGGGTACTCTGGGCCCGTGAGGCGCCAATGTTCTGTGTGCTGTTCAAGGTTGGAGGAGGCTGTGTCTGAAGCCACTGACGCATCGGCAGTTGTAAGCTGGCTCAAGTGCCAGCTTCGAAGACAGACGCCAGTATGGATGCCTTACATCTGCAATACATTTTTCCAATGCGAGGCGTATTGGACACGCCGACTCCGTCAGGATGCCTGATGGCGCTTCAGTAGTGTGACGTGTCGCCAAATGATGAACTAACCGCACACGACGTCAGGCTTTATCATTAAACCACAACACCAGTTCTCAGGTCAGTATCCATCCATGTAATACCACATTAGCGTCTGTACTCTCCACCCCTCCACGGTGATTGAGTGTTAGCCGGCCGGCGACTCTCACCTGCCAGGTCGACCAGTTCGTTTTCGTTGGCCTCGCCCAGGGCCGATTCGTACTCGTCACCGAGGTCGAGGGCGATCTCCTCCTCCAGACGCTGCTCGGCCAGCGGCGGTGGCGGCGGGATCCACTGAGGGTGGACAGAGAGGGGGCGGGTCAGATGGGTTAGAGAGGGGCGGTGGGTCAGACGATGGTAGAGCGTGTCAAGCAGGTTAAACGAGTAAGAGGCGAGCAGCGGAGGGTCACACGAGTTACAAGAGGCGGCGCAGAGGGTCAGACGGGCAGGAAGGGGCTGGTCAGACGGGTTAGAAGAGGCGGTACGGTGGGTAAGGCGGGCCAGAGGCGGCAAGTCAGATGGGTTAGACCGGCGCCATCAGAAGTTTGGCCGGAAAGGGGCAATGCGCAGCAACATGACAAAGTTCCATCAACACAAGAGCACCGGCGAAACATGAAACACCAGACGCGCAATTCGTTTAAACCTTGAGGGAACACAGCCGATACTTTGATAAAGCAAACCACCAAGCTGTGGTCGGCCACGCGAAGATCCGTCAGCGCAACGTCAAACGGACGGTCCGGCATCACATTGCAACGCTGCGTCACAATGGCAGCACATCATCACAATGGCATTACGGCGTCACACTAACATTGCGTCGTCTAGCCAGTCTCCCATGACAACAGCCATCAGCGGGACTTTCGGCCGGGCCGATATTAACATACAAAGGCGGCGGCAGAACTGTGACACCGTCTGTCAACTAACACTCGTACGCCGCCGTAGCTAACAGAGCGTGCAGCGAGCGAGGGAGAGTGGTGGTGCAGAGACGGTGGTCTGGGTCACCGGTTCGAATAGACCGTCTTATGGAGGTTACCGGTGGGGTGGGATGAGGAGAGGAGATGAAGGAGAGGAGATGGGAGAGGAGAGGAGAGGAGAGGAGAGGAGAGGAGAGGAGAGGAGAGGAGAGGAGAGGAGAGGAGAGGAGAGGAGAGGAGAGGAGAGGAGAGGAGATGGGAGGAGAGGAGATGAAGGAGAGGAGATGGGAGGAGAGGAGAGGAGAGGAGAGGAGAGGAGATGGGAGGAGAGGAGAGGATAGGAGAGGAGAGATGGGGATATGGAAGGAGGAAAAAGAAATGGAAGGAAAAAAGGATGTCGCAAGGAATAGAAGTAGAGAGCAGGGAAGGGTCAGGTCAGGTCAGATGGGGTAGCATCTCACCTTTTTGCCTCTGACCACGCCCTGCTGGAAAGGGGACTGTCTCAGGTTATTTCAGGCCAGTTCAGGTCAGGTCAGGTCAGACGGTAGCTCACCTTTTTGCCTCTCACCACGCCCTGTTGGTACGGCACCATCTCGGGTCGGGTCAGTTCAGGTCAGGTCATGTCAGGCGGGTTGGTATCTCACCTTTTTGCCTCTGACCACGCCCTGCTGGTAGGGCACCATCTCAGGCCGGTCGGGCTCGTTCAGCGCCTGCTGCTGAATGTGTTCAATAAGCCGCTTCCTATTCAGCGGGCCGGTGGGGTCCTTCTCACAGCGGTACGAGGTCCGCTGGCTGGGCGGCATCAGGTCATCCTGTGGGGTAAGAGGTCACGTCAGGTCATTCCAGAAGGGTTACATCAGGTCATTACGGGGGTGGGAGGTCAAGTCAGGTCATCCCAATAGTGGGAGGGTCACGTCAGGTCATTTGAAGGAGGGGGAGGGGCGCAAGGTACTGGAGAGTATTTGAGGCACGGCAACCGGACAACGCCGATGACCCTCACCGCGTAACGATGAAGGAAAGTGGCCTATGGTCCTTGAAAAAGATCAAGAATCATGCTTAGCCTGACCATCATATGCGTGTTTTCTAGATGTTGTTCATAAGAAGTTTGGCAAAACGTTTTTTTTTTTTAAGTGACGCATGAGTCATCCGCCGAAACCCACTCATACCGTCGTGATGACATAGGTATCTCGTTGACCCTTGCCATTAGCCCTCACCCCTCCCCCGTCCCCACCGCCCGCATCCCTGCTCCCACCCCACCCGCTCGGTCGGTCCGATCCCATACGACACGTCATCTCCTTGTCTCTGCGTCTCCTGTCCCAGTGTCTCACTCCCAACATTCCCGGTATTATCACCGCGTGTGGGGCACTCCGCGAGTGGCGAACGGTAGCCACAGCAGACGGTCGACGGACGCGGTAACGGAGGCCGGTAAATAGCGGCGGTTAGAAGAATGGAGTCGGTGCCGCAACACTCGACCACCACAGAAACCGCAGAGGACAGCGAGAGGCGAACGCGGCCGCCGGCGGGGCTCTCGTAACATTGCCAGAGGGTGAGTGTCACGGCGGACGGCTCAACAGATTGATAGCGAGAGCTGTGTGTGTGGTAGGGCCCTGATAAACGACAAATGCGCTTCCCCCAAAGGTTTCCTGACTTACAAGATTAATTTCTTAATAATTTTATTAGATTTTATCATTTGCGTCCCGCCCAATCATCCTGGGGAGTGGGGGATGATGATGATGAATTGGGGGGTTTGGGCGCCCGCGCTACAGTGGTCATCGGCGCCATTCTGGGGAAGACCAGCGTTCCCCGTGTCTCTGAGCACCCTCTGATCAAGTACCGTCCCCCTTACTGACCAACTGACCAGTCTCCGCTGAGTCAGCCACGGGTCGACTTTTGTCTGTACCCGGGAGCGCCGGACCCGTGTGGGTAGGTCACTGAGTCATCAGTCGACTGAGGAGCCGCCGCCGGTCCCCGGGGCGGTCACGGTCGGACGGCAGCTGTCACCGAGTGCCGCTCACGGTCGGTAACGGGCCCGGCGCAGCGGGGAGGTAATGAACCGTATACGGCCTGTTCATCGGCCGAGACCGACCGTGAGAACAGCGGTATACGACAGCCGACCGAGCGACGGAACACTGCGTTGGACAAAACAGAGGGCCACAATGACCAGGCACAAACTTCTCAATATACCAGAACATCATAAGGGACAACAAAGAAACTAAACAAATAAGTTGAGCTGCAAAAAAAAAACTAGAGCTTTTGACTCGGGCATTACATAATACATAACGCCACTTTTTCGGTGTGGTCCGTTGATCAAAAACTCTTTCTATCGTAATAGTCTGATAACAATATCTTCAGATCAAAGCTGTATGTAGTATCTAGTTCTACACTCAACGACCCTGAGCCATGCGCAGCAGCGTCAGCGGAAGCCTACCGCCAGCGCCGGTGCCTCCGTCACCGCCTTTACAAACTTCAGCCCCACTGCCCACAAGCCGCCATATCGCCGTCCGGACCGGCCACCGCCCGACCGTATCGCAGATCCGACCTCTGCCAGTTCCGGCGGCGGCCGTAAAGCCGTCACAGCCATCGACAGGTCCCGCCCGATAAGGGAGACCCACCGGCAGGCGCGGCCGCACAGAGCAAGTTCTGCGTGCGGCCGGGTGCGCCGGGAGCCCGCCCCGCCCGGGCCGCTCCAGCAGCCGTTACAGCTGAGAGAGCGGACACACTGCCAGAAACAACGGCACGGCTAAATATAATGCCCGCAGCCGGCGGTGGTGCCGAGGTGAAGGTCAGCCATCTCTCGGCTGTAGGGACGGGCCCGGTTCAAAGGCGTCGTTAGTGAGGCGCTCGTCTCTGCCGGCCGCCAGCAGCGCCGAGCCGACTGACACTAGGTACACACGGGGGCAGTTAGGTCAGTGACCGGTGCCGAACGCAGCCGCAGCCGCCCCCACCCGCCAGCCGCACTAAATGCGGTCACACGGCGGCAACCAGTTTTTGTGGTCTGATTGGGAAGAGCCACGACCAGTTGGTAGTGAAGCAGCAGTGCAGGGGGTCATCTATCACCTAGGCTGTCTCCGTGTGTCTGACCATCAGCTCCGTCTTAGACTAGCTCTTCTAGCTCCATCTAGCTATTAATTTCACCCGTGGCAGGTAGAGTACGCGATTTACTCCACTGACACGGAATGACGATTCCGAGTTCCGCCCATGTGCTGACGTTACCACTCACAAAAGTCATCCGTGCGCGGTGTCAACAGTTGACATCATCAGCTCATGACAAAGTGCGAATAACTGTTCTTTTATTTGCCTCCTGCCCTTCCGTTAGTTTCGTTACAAACTCAAGAAATGTCATAATTTCTTTTCTAAACCGTAACCAGAGAAGTGAGAACGAGGATATAAACGATGAAAAGCTGTTAGAAATAAGATAAAAACGATTCCAAATCCTGAACATTCCACCCGTCAGGGAAGCAACCTTTCCGCTAGATGAGCAGGAATGACTGGGTGGACGAAACTCAACCAATGCAAGACCGATATTGCAAAAAAAAAAACATAATCGCCAAACACGACAAAATAATTCATAACTAGGCGAGATGCAGAGCACACCACAGCCACACATCATTCAACTCATGGCGGCGACGCGGCTATGGAAGGTTAGGACCCTGCCCGGGCGCCACTGAACGTGACCGGAGCAAAGGGAGACGGGGGTCGGAGACAGATAAATCACCCCGCCGACAGACGCGGAGCAGACCCTGACTAGGGGTGGTGCGAAGGGGAGTGTAGGAACGGGCGCGCCGCTGGCAGCAGAGCCGAGAGGCGCGAACGGCAGTCGTCGACTGCGACGGACGGCGAGTGGAGCAGAGAGTGGGCGAGAAGTGAGCTAAGGAATCCGTGTGGAGTGCCAACGGCTACGAGGATTATCCGATCACGCACTCCTTAACGCCGACATGGCCGCCGGCGAGTGGAGCGGAGAGCGAGCGAGAAGGGAGCCAGGGAAGCTGTGGGGAGTACCAACGGCTACAAGGATTCTATGGTCAGGCACACTAACGCCGGCACGGCAGGTGAGGCGTATCGAGCACGGCTCGGGGGTACGTACAGCGGAGTGCGGTTCCTTGGCGGCGACACCACGAGGATGGTTGCCCGGCGACTGACGCGGCGCCACCATGAGGATGGTTCCCAGGCGACTGACGCGCATCTATTCAGAGGCATACTAAGCGCACACACAATCGTAAAGGAAACCGGGGAGCCTGGTAGGCACGCTTTGAAGGGTCGTGCAACGCGGCACCCCAACCTGCGACGCGATACACACAAAACACCTGGTTCCGGCCACCCTACAACTCATGCACACACATCAGGTCCGCCGCCGACCCCTCGGCTACTCTGCAACTGCAATGCGTCCGACGCCCCGGCTACTCCGCACTGCACATACATCAAGCCCGCTGCCGACGCCTCGGCTACTCTGCAACTCACGCACATAAATACTCATGCACATGCATCAGGTCCGCCGCCGACGCCTCGGCACGCACATACATCAGGTCCGCCGCCGACGCCTCGGCACGCACATGCATCAGGTCCGCCGCCGACGCCTCGGCACGCACATGCATCAGGTCCGCCGCCGACGCCTCGGCACGCACATGCATCAGGTCCGCCGCCGACGCCTCGGCTACTCTGCAGTAGAGATGTCCTCGGATACAACTTTTCGGTATACCGATACCATACTGATACCAACTCGGTACTTGCTATTTGATTCCTAATGTGTTCGGTATTTTGTTGGTATAATGCACCCTAGGTTGGTACTTGGTTTTGTATCGGTATTCCGATTTTCCGTAGTCGACGTCCTACTCTGCACCGCACATACATCAGGTCCGCCGCCGACGCCTCGGCACCCACATGCATCAGGTCCGCCGCCGACGCCTCGGCTACTCTGCAGTAGAGATGTCCTCGGATACAACTTTTCGGTATACCGATACCATACTGATACCAACTCGGTACTTGCTATTTGATTCCTAATGTGTTCGGTATTTTGTTGGTATAATGCACCCTAGGTTGGTACTTGGTTTGGTATCGGTATTCCGATTTTTCCGTAGTCGACGTCCTACTCTGCACCGCACATACATCAGGTCCGCCGCCGACGCCTCGGCACCCACATGCATCAGGTCCGCCGCCGACGCCTCGGCTACTCTGCAGTAGAGATGTCCTCGGATACAACTTTTCGGTATACCGATACCATACTGATACCAACTCGGTACTTGGTATTTGATTCCTAATGTGTTCGGTAATTTGTTGGTATAATGCACCCTAGGTTGGTACTTGGTTTGGTATCGGTATTCCGATTTTCCGTAGTTGACATCACTACTCTGCACTGCACATACACCAGGTCCGCCACCGACGCCTCGGCTACTCTGCAACCCACGCACACACATCAGGTTCGCCGACAACGCCCCGGCCACTCTGCAAATCACGCACATACATCAGGTCCGCCGCCGACGCCTCGGCTACTCTGCAAATCACGCACATACATCAGGTCCGCCGCCGACGCCTCGGCTACTCTGCAACTCATGCACTTGCATCAGGTCCGCCGCCGACGCCTCGGCTCCTCTGCTACTCATGCACACACATCAGGCTCGCCGTCGTATAGCCTCAGCCACCCCATAAACTCTGCACCGGCATGGGTCGAGAATATGGTATGGCAGGCATGGCACGCGCCACACCAACTTAAAAGATGGTATGGCAATGCCATACCAACTTTTTCAGGGTAAAAGCTACGAAATTTAAGGTTTTCAGTTTGATAAGAATAAAACACGATAGTATTGTTTCAAGCAAC